GACGGAGCGGCCGGGAATAAATTTGTAATCAGGGCTCTACCATCTGATCATCAAAGCGGCCCAACTGCCGGGAGAATTGGAAGGGAATGCGTGTGTAGGGGGGTCGGTTCTGGGGAGAGGCGGGGGGCGCGCTCCAGCAGGGAGCTGGCTTGGGCAGGGTGGCGGGGACAGGAGAGGAGGCTCGTCGGTGCTCCTGTGAGTCAGTGCCCCGCGCCCCTGGACCGCCACCAGCCGACCGGCCGCCGCCGGGGAGCTGAGTCTGGCCGGGCGGCACCCGCGGACCCGCTGCGGGCAGTGCCTGCTTCCAGCCGTCCGCCCCCAAACGTGGGATGGGTTCCTCTCCTGGAGTTGCCCCTCTCCCCTCCTCTCTTGCCAAACCGTTAAACAACACTTGGTCCCCCAACCCCCCGTGGACGTAAACCCGACAGCACAACTGGGCTTCCGGGGAAGAGGGCTTCTGGGGCCCCGGGGGCGCTCCAGGGTCTCTGACTCCGAGGGATGCTCGGGCTCCCAGAGGCCCGAGGAGTCAGGCCCGGTCGAACGACAGGGCCCCCTCAGGTCAACAGATCCGAAAGAGACAGGCGGCGCCTAGGGTCCAGATGCAGCCCTCCCCGGGGCACACGCCCCAAGCCTCCTTTCCTCATCGTCTCCGCTTGGCACCTACCACCAGTCTGGTCTCCAAATCCAGGCGCGTGGGTGGGACTCGCGGGCAGGGAGCACGCAGGGCAGCCGTGGGGGAGAAAACCGCCGGCCACACGCGCAGCGGGAGACGCGCAGTTTCCTTAAAGCTACAGGAAGAGCTGAGCCGTTTCCTGCGCTCTGTAGAGCCGCTGTACAAATGCAGTGCCGGCTGTTGTGGCATCCTGTGCCCAGTTTACGGCCGCCCGCACACATACCTGAGGCCCTCGCAGCCGGCTCGGGCTCTCGCTGCAAAACTAGTCTCGGAAGCAGCTCGCAGCCCTCCTCCGGCTGCCTGTGGCTTTGCCTCGAGATCACTCTCACCCGCGGCCCCCCTTCCTGCGAAATCCGCGTGCACGCAACTCACTCCTCTTGCCACCTTAACAACGGGGTGTGGGATACCAGCCCCAGACGGCGGCCAGCAGCGGCTCAGGTGAGGGGGCAGGGATGCAGCCGCCCTCCTGTCCCGACTCTTGCACACTTGGTTTCCAAGGGGCCCGAAGGTTGCCGTCCCTGGCGCCACTGCTGCACTCACCTCACCGCGGAGATGACCAGGACGCCTGGTCCTGCCACCCCTGAGGAGGGCAGCCTAGGTGAGAGGCCCACCTTTCCTAGATGCCCGCGCCTACTGGCTAACCGACTGGGAGGATGGAACTTCCCACCGTGCCCCCAGAGTGTGGCCCCGGGATTTAGAAGGCAAGAAGAACTCCAAGAGATCTTGCTGTCATCTCCTTGGCATGTCGACCTGAAAAAAAAAAAAAGGAGAAAAGAAAAAAACCCCAAAACAACTCTGAAAGCCACAGTAAGTGTCCTGCCTGGGGGGCGAAAAGTCCTGGAAAATTGGGTTTGGGAGCAGGGAGTGCTCGGTCTCCCTCTGTCGAGTTTCCCCAATTACTTCCCAAGAAGGTGAGAATGGGTCTGTTGGAACAAACACACACACACACACACACAAACCCCCAACCCCTCAATCACCCATTCACATACACACACACACACACACACACACACACACACACACACACACGGCGGCGAGCCCTCGCCCCGCCGGTGCTCCAGGGTTATCAGGCTCTCGGCCCGCGCGGCGGTCTGGGGCCGGGCCCTGACAACCAGATCCACCATCAATTTACCTTCCGCCGCCCCAGCTTCCCATTTAGCTTTTAACGTCAAATCCTGCATTTTTGTCGGCTCCGGCCTGTCTAGAGAGCTTGTGATTTCGCTGCAGGAGTGATTGCTTTTAACAAAATGGCAGCAACCACATTATCCGAGCAATTAAAACAGGCCTTTTAGCCAGTCCCACAAGGCAGGAGCTTGGAAACTTTTTTTTTTTTTTAAGCAAAGAAGAAAGGGAGTTAAAAGAGAAAGAAACGTGTAGAAGAGAAAAGCATGGAAGCGTGGAAGAAACGCCTGCCTCGCCCACCACTCAGTGCCCTGGGTGGGACTTGACGACGTGGGGCGGGAGGTGGGGTGGCACTGCGCACTGGGAGGGTGGGGACGTGCAGCGGTGGGAGTGACCGACAATCTGGGGTGTCTTGCTGCTGAAGCTTTCGGCCGGGTAGTGTTCGGCCGGTTAGGGGGTTCGGCACCCTGGCGTGTCGGGTCTGCCGGGTGTCTGGCCCGTTGAGGTCGCCGCTGGGTTGGAACGTCCAGGTGGTGGAGGTGTCGGGGCTGGGTGCTGCGGAGCCCAAGGAAGCGGCGCGGCGGGCGGGCAGGAGAGCGGGCGGGCAGCGCAGGGCCCAGGCTAGACAAAGAGGCCAGACCCGCGTTTCTGGAGCGCAGGTTTAAAAGCATGTGCAGCAGCCGGCGGCCTCGTAGGGACGGTGCTGACAGGGTCTTCTGGCTCCCTTCTGCTGGTGTTTAACAAACCAGAAAAAGTGTTAAAGCGGCAGCAATGCGTTAAGGCCCAGGTGGCGAGGAAGACCACAGCCAAGCCAGGCCCGCACCAGCCAACACAGGCACGTGAAGATAACTGCTCTGGGGTTCCTGTTTTGAAAACCTCACCGCCTCCACCACCGTGCACGCCACTACCTCGGTAAACTCTATCCCTCCGCCCCTAGGATCTGGCATCTTTCTCTCGAACGGATTAAAGTAAACGGCGGCTGGAGGCGGGAGAGGGAGGGACCCCCTCGGTCAAACCGACAGGGATCCCGAGAGTCACAGAAAATCAGGGCGCGCCTCCCTCCGCCCCCCAGCGTTATAAACAAAGGCAAGTGTCTGTAAACACAGCCCCGCGCCCACCATGTCGGCCCAGCGCCGGCTGACCCGAGGGGAGAAAGTTCAGATCGCTTTGGCCGAGTTGTTCTAACCCCGCGCCCTCCAGTCGGCGGCCGCCCGCAGCAGAACCCCGCAGCGCCGCTCGCCCGCCTCCCGCCCGGCGCTAGCGAATTCGCCGGCTGCCGGCGGTGGGCTCAGAGGCGGCACCCGCCAGAGCGGGACCCCTGGGATGGCGGGGGAGGGTCCGTGCCCGAGGCCGAGGTGAGAACATCACCCCGAGGATGGGTTCCAAGGTGGTAACCCTCTGGCTAGCCTCCCTAGCCCCAGATCTGTACACGCGGCGTTTCCTGAAGCAAACCGCTTTTTAATAAGTTTCGCCCTACTTCCTCCCCCCTCCGCGCCCCCCATCCCTCCCTCTGCTCCCCCTCCCCGGCCTGCCGAGCCCTTTCCGGCACTCCAGCTTCTCCGACTCTTAGAGCAGAGATTCCGCTCTGGCCAAGCCCACGGGCAAAGGAAGCCTCGGGGACTTCCTTCCGGGATGTGCCTGGGCTCCTGGAGCCCGAACCTCTGACAGGGGTCGGGGGGGAGTCCTGACGGCTGAGAGCTGGGGACGGAGCCCCGAGCTGGCCTGGCCTGCGGCCGGGAGGACTTCAGACACTGCACAGTTAATATTGAGTTCCCTATAGCTCCTTGTAAATCTAGCGCCCACTCCACCCCTCCCTCCCCCTTTAAATCTTCGGTCGCGTTCGCGATTTCTTACTTGACGTAGGATTCCCAGTTACCTACTCACGGACTTTTTTCCCCCGAAGGGCCTCCCCCTCTCCCGGCCTGCTCAGACCAGTCCCCCCTCTCCCCACCTA